CAAGCTTGCAACCAGTCACCAGACAAGCTTGCAACCAGTCACCAGACAAGCTTGCAACCAGTCACCAGACAAGCTTGCAACCAGTCACCAGACAAGCTTGCAACCAGTCACCAGGCAAGCTTGCAACCAGTCACCAGGCAAGCTTGCAACCAGTCACCAGACAAGCTTGCAACCAGTCACCAGACAAGCTTGCAACCAGTCACCAGGCAAGCTTGCAACCAGTCACCAGGCAAGCTTGCAACCAGTCACCAGGCAAGCTTGCAACCAGTCACCAGACAAGCTTGCAACCAGTCACCAGACAAGCTTGCAACCAGTCACCAGACAAGCTTGCAACCAGTCACCAGACAAGCTTGCAACCAGTCACCTGACAAGCTTGCAACCAGTCACCACGCAAGCTTGCAACCAGTCACCAGGCAAGCTTGCAACCAGTCACCAGGCAAGCTTGCAACCAGTCACCAGACAAGCTTGCAACCAGTCACCAGACAAGCTTGCAACCAGTCACCAGGCAATCTTGCAACCAGTCTGACTTCTCCGTGTAGTTTGCTGTTGTTGTTCTTTACTAAACTCAAATATTCAAAATATGTGATATTTTCAATCTCTTTATTGTCGGTTTCAATATGTGACGATCTGATCAGTATTCTACATATAAACATCTTTCCTTACATGAGTGAATCCACTTTCAGGGTAGAGATTATTTTTCATTTTTCTGGGCTCAGTAAAACTTGAGTGGCTTGAAAGATCTGAACATCAAGGAAGACTGGCTAATAAACAGCATCCTGTCTCGGAAGCTGAAATATTTTGGTCATATCAAAAGCCACAACGGATTTGAAAAAAAAAATAATAGCATGGTACCAGGAAGGAGGGGCAGGGGCCGACCAACACGAAGATGGGCACAAGATATAAGTGACTCCTTGATTTGTATGAGGCGGGAGAACTGGCGAGAGACCGAGTTTCTTTCAGGCAGACCATGATGAGAGGGACGTTCTGCAAAGGACCTGCTACGTGAAGATGATGAAAAGTGGCCGGTGTAATATTTACCACATCACCAATCAAGTGCTGAGAAGTTAAAAAAAAAATAAAGCTTTAACTCTTTGAGTCCCGAGGAACGCATCATACGTTCATAGGTTCCTACATAGAAGCCCAAATGAACGCATGATGCGCCGATTTTATGTCTCTTTTCACTACCCCTTGGGCCTGTGATGCTAAACCCCCTGGGACTTAAAGAGTTAACCATGCTCCAAAATACCCACAGGATGAGAATTAATAGTTAAGTTTTACTTTCATCTTTCCCCATGTGGGGTCTGGGGCCCTATTTTGAGGGCATAAGAATAGACCCGATGGCCCTTTATAAGCATGTTATTTTTCATTTTTGAGATCGTCTTCATCGCACATCGGACACGACCATAACTGCTCCAATCTCTTCCTGAGTATATCTCCAAGTGTTTTTAGGTTAACAACTCCCATTCTGTTCTGCCTGATGTAACAATTGGTGGCTCCTGAAGGGTTTTCCCATCTTGGTACATAAAAAAGTAAAAAAAAGTAAAGATCCCTTTCCACGCCTTTAGGCGTATTGGGCATATGGGAAGAGCGCCCATATTTACAGACCATCAGCACTCGGTGGGTAATGTGGTCAGCATTACGCCGGCCGTCTTTACTTTCCCAGGACAGCCATTCCTGGTACCCGTTTTAGGCTGGGTTGACCTGCGACGCCCCGTACCATGATAAAAATCCACGCAAACAGCAGTGGGTTTCGATCGCGGTGCGCTGAACTCGCAACGCCTAAGCCACGGACGCCGCATCTTGCTACATACATGTCAAAAAAGGTTACTAATTAGGAGTTTACCGAAATCGGACCAAAAAGCACAGATATTGCAGCCTAGCTGTAAACCACAATGCAACATTCCAACTGCCCTTATAAGGATGAGCACAAAAAAGAAGAAACAGAAGAAGAAAAAACATCATTTTGATCGTAAAATCTTATATGGAAACAAGAAAAGTTGGAACATTTTCTAAACATGATTTTGTTATTACATGTTCCGTCTAGAAATATTCCTGAACTAATTCCTGCACAGAACAACATTACAATAGTTTGAGGCAGTGATTCCTAAACTGCGCTGTGGCGCCCCAGGGAGCTGCGACGTCTTTACAGAGGTGCCGCAAAATATTGTAAATGCTTGAAAATTAATTTAACCAAGACACGAATAGTCATACTTTTACTAAGTTAGTGCGGCGTGGAAGAATTTTAATTTGAAAGAGGCGCCGCCACCAAGAAAAGTTTGGTAAACACTGGTCTAATGTAATCCCGAATGTGTAGCTGACGAAAGACCTGTCCAACATCTCAGCAAATCAATAAATGAGAAAGAGATCCTTGGAATTAACAGGATAAGTTGTTCCATACCCACACAGGCCTGCAGACTTGATGAGTGGTTTTGTTATTGTTTTTTGAGGACATATGACCAGCCTGGCAATGTGGCAAAACCCACCCACACTGGGCTGTAGGTTACTTTGCGGTGCTTTATTAATATCCTACCCCCAGATGACGTCACATGACAGTTCAACATTTTAGAGGGTGGTAAGACTGGATTTCCTGGCTTTCTGATGCCTTTAACAACCCCAAAACATCTAGAACTGTAATGAAATATAGGCAGAAAGGGGTTAAATGAACAAAGCATACATTTCAGACCACCACACGGCGTACTAATCCATCACTGTGTGAAATGACAGAAATGGGTGATTAGAAAGCCATGGCCTAGCCAACTATGCAGAACATCTTCATGATAACCGCCATGACATCTGACAGTGAGGGATGAAACATTTGACGAGTGCCCGTGAGCTGTGACCAGCTGAAGAGATACGTTCATCCAAACGTGACCACCAAAGACAGGTGACAGGGAAGTGATGGAGAAGGTACGCCAGAAAGAGCGGGAAAGCGGGAGAATAAAGTCAGAGCCAGGGGCTTGAGAAGTTAGTTAGCCCCCGAAACCGCTTGAGAAGACAGTTAGGGCTGGACCGCGAGAGAAACCGGTTAGAAGAAAACTAGTACTGTACTTCGTTAGAAGGATATGCTAAAATTGGAGTTTAGCTAGAACAGTGATTGAGTAACTCGTAGAGAGACATAAGAATAGATAGTTACAAGATAACAAACATTTCATATACTATTGCTTATTGAATTTATGAAGTCTGTGTGACGAGAATATTGTGAATAAACCAACTCTTGTGTAATTGTTACATCACTGGCCTTGTTCTTGAATACGATTGAAGAGAGCTACGAACTATATTCATTCAACTTGGCCGAATTAGGCACATCTATTTCTTGGGGGATGTATAGGCACGACTGTGCCACAGAACTGGCCCTAACCCTAACCCACCTACGTCCCACGAGAGAGTGCAGCTGAGGATCCATGAATGCATGCAGCCTATCTACCAGCCCCTGAAATATTAGACTTTCCCATGACCTGAGGATTTCCCCTGTTTGGGGTAGGATATTAATAAAGCACCTCATTTGCAAGCCTTTTGTGACACCCCAGTATGACTGTGCAACTCAGCGTCAGCGTCAAACAGGGTTTCTCTAATCTGTACCTTGTGTTGATTTGTATCCATTTTTGATTTGATTTGATTCAAGAACCGTCACCACAGCAGTCGGGGTATTCCCATAAGTGCACTGTCCCCATCGTCAGCAGCCAGCGAAGAGTTCCGATACTAATAGTGCCAGTAGCATTCTGATTAAACGTCCGTCTTGCCTTTCCTCTGAGCCTCAAGCCAGAACCTCTCGTCACCTCCAACTGCATCAATCTCACCAGACTGTGGTGATCCATCTGCTCCTCCGAACTGTACAAGCTCTCCCACAAGGCACTAACCACGTCTGCCTTATCATGTATCAGTATTCCACCAAGCTGTATTCTTGAGATGTCAATCCTACAGACCACAGGCAGTTGTAGTAGCCATGTTGTGTGCCTCAGCTATAATTTCTATGGGAGTTGAACAGGATTTCTGTAAGCTGCCCTTCTAGTTTGCTATTCAAAAGGAGATTCTTGAAGTCTCACAAGTAATTAAAGGTAGTAGCCAGAAGGAGAAAGTGAGACCGCAATGAGGAGGACTGAATGCTGAAGAAAAACATTGTCTTTATCAAGAGCCATACGGGTAAAAGGAATTGAGGCAGACCTTAAATACACAGAAATGAAATGCAGAGACAGGATTCAAAATATGTGATTGGAATGATGGGATATGCAGGAGATTGCAAAACGTAGAATGGCCTGTTGTGAGTTGCTTGGGTGTCTATGAGGAGTTCAGGGTAGAAGAAAATAAACCTGGTAATTTTTCCGAGGACACTATTCATAACTACAAAATATACAATGTATCTAAACGCTGACATAATGTGTAAATACAGAATACATTACATATCAATACATAAGTACAGAATACAATACATCTCAATACATAAGTACAAAAAAACAATAGATCTAAATGCTGACCTAATTTATAAGTACAGAATCCAATAGATCTAAATGCTAGAACAATACATTATCACAGCAAACATTTATTATTCTCATGATGCCACACTGGTGTCATTCTCAAATGATACCACACTGGTGTCATTCTCAGTTGATATCACATGGGTGTCATTCTCAGAAGATGCCATAATTGTGTCATTTCCTGATGATACCGCACTGCTGTTATTTACAGACAACACCACACAGGTGTTATTCTCAGATGATACTTAACTGGTGTCATTTTGGGTATTAGCATGCTGGTGTCATTCTCAATTGACACCACACTGGTGTCAGTCTCTGATGATACCACACTGATGTCAGTCTCTGATGATACCACACGGGTGTCTTTCTCAGTCTGTAATCTAGCAGGTGCCAAACGCTGCATGTGGCAGGGACATTTAGAAAGTGTATATTTATGCTATTATTACAGTCTTGTTATTACAGTCTTTGATTCTGGTCTGGCTGTGTAACTTTCTTGTGGCAGGAGCAGACAATGTGAGAAGCCCTGATCTAGATAAAAGGGGCAGTTCCATTCCAGTTGACAGCAGCACCAAACCACCTGGAAAAATTGTTCGAATACAATGAGCATTTCTGTATTTAATCAGGTTAGTCAGTTGGTTGGGGAGTTAGTTAGCTGGTCAGTCAGTTGGCTGGTCAGTCAATTAGTTGGTTGGTCAGTCAGTCAGTCAGCTGGCTGGTCAGTCAGTTGGCTGGTCAGTCAGTTAGCTGGTCAGTCTGTCAGCTCATTGGCTAGTCAGTCAGTCAGTTTGTTGGCTGGTCAGTCAGTCAGCTCATTGGCTGGTCAGTCAGTCAGCTCATTGGCTGGTCAGTCAGTCAGAAAGCTCATTGGCTGGTCAGTCAGTCAGTCAGCTCATGGGCTGGTCAGTCAGTCAGCTCATTGGCTGGTCAGTCAATCAGACAGCTCATTGGCTGGTCAGTCAGTCAGTTGGCTGGTCAATCAGTCAGCTCATTGGCTGGTCAGTCAGTCAACTCATTGGCTGGTAAGTCAGTCAGCTCATTGGCTGGTCAGTCAGTCAGCTCATTGGCTGGTCAGTCAGTCAGACAGCTCATTGGCTGGTCAGTCAGTCAGTCAGTCAGTCAGCTCATGGGCTGGTCAGTCAGTCAGCTCATTGGCTGGTCAGTCAGTCAGTCAGACAGCTTAATGGCTGGTCAGTCAGTCAGCTCATTGGCTGGTCAGTCAGTTAGGTGGACGGTAAGTTGGCTGGTGGGTTGGTTAGTTGGTCATGAAGTTGATTGGTTGGTCAGTTGCTTGATTGCTGATTTGGGTGGTTAATTAGCTAGTAAGCTGCATGTTGATAAGTAGGCTGGTAAGTCATTTGGCCGATGAACGGCACGTAAGTCTATTTAGCTGGTTGGTTAGTCATTTACCTTAATGTGACAGGAGCAGAAAATTTCAGAACCCCTGATCTAGACAAAAGGCACAAAACAGTTCCAGTAACTGATCCTTAAAAAATATACCAACGTATGACACAAGCGTTGTTGTCAAAGAATAGAAAATCTCTTTGTAAACCACGTTTTAAGTTAGCTTGGACATGGTTATGTCCATTCGAAAATTTTACTTTTTTTTTTTTAAACTGCCATATTTCATAGCATGTATGTATGTAACCTGTACCCCACCAGGACATCACACAAGCGATAAATACCTAGTGAGACAAAATCCACGAGGATCACCCATGGAGAGGTCCCAGAAACCCCAATCAGCCGTTAGGCCAAATTTCAAGGGTGGCTATATTTAGGGCCCCCGGCTAAAAACTAAAAATGGCATCTCACATGGTGATGACGAGATGTATTTTAAAGCAGTGCATCCTCCTGTCGGCTTAGAGGTATAAATGCACTTTCATAATTTGGACATACCAAGTTTGTTTCAGCTACAGCAAATTTGGCACAATTGATTGCAAACCAGTCTTATTTAACTGCAAACTACTGAACATAAATTTGCCTGTTAAGCAAGCATCATTCCATGCAATATTCCAGTGAAGAATACTTTGATAACGTCACTGCTATTGAACTGGCCTGATATTTTTATAACACTGATATAACAGAATGGCCATCAAATATTATAGTTAAAATAAGAACAGAATAACATCTTCATGTTATAATAACAGAATAACACGATGCGTGGCATTGGTAGCCATGTCTATCTACAACTCACTGTCTCGTGTACTTTCATTCAACTCTGACACAGATGATCTTCCATAGTCCATGCCCTGTGGTGTTGGTAGTCATGTCTATCCACAACCTTCTGTCTCGTGTACTTTCAGTCAACTCTGACACACATGATCTTCCATAGTCCATGCCCTTTGGTGTTGGTAGTCATGTCTATCCACAACCTTCTGTCTCGTGTACTTTCAGTCAACTCTGACACGCATGATCTTCCATAGTCCATGCCCTTTGGTGTTGGTAGTCATGTCTATCCACAACCTTCTGTCTCGTGTACTTACAATAAACTATGGCACAGATGATCTTCCATAGTCCATGCCGTGTGGCATTGGGAGTCATGTCTATCCACAACCCTCTATCTCGTGTACTTTCAGTCAACTTTGACACACATGATCTTCCATAGTCCATGCCCTGTGGCATTGGTAGCCATGTCTATCCACAACCTTCTGTCTCGTGTACTTTCAATCAACTCTGACACAGATGATCTTCCATAGTCTATGCCTTGTTGTGTTGGTAGTCATGTCTATCCACAACCTTCTGTCTCGTGTACTTTCAATAAACTATGGCACAGATGATCTTCCATAGTCCATGCCGTGTGGCATTGGGAGTCATGTCTATCCACAACCCTCTGTCTCATGTATTTTCAGTCAACTCTGACACACATGATCTTTCTTAGTCCATGCCGTGTGGCATTGGTAGCCATGTCTATCCACAACTCACTGTCTCGTGTACTTTCAATCAACTCTGACACAGATGATCTTTCATAGTCCATGCCGTGTGGCATTGGGAGTCATGTCTATCCACAACCCTCTGTCTCGTGCACTTTCAATCAGCTCTGACACAGATGATCCTCCATGCCATGATGTCAAACTGTCTAGCATCTTTTTTCTCGGTCTCCCTCTGCCTCTCCTCCCCTCCATCTTTCCTACTATCACGATGTACTCCATTTATCTCCTCCTCATCACATGACCAAAGAATGTAGAGTGTCTGTTTCTGATGTGGGCAATCAGTTCTCTTAGTGAGTCAGTTTCTTTCAAGACGTCTTCATTACTCTTTTTATCTGGCCAGGGTAGTCTCATCTTTCGTCTATTGTCTGACTTTAAAAAGAGTAAGCACACCATGGAACTGGCCGGTCCAAAAGCCAGATTTCCTTTAACCCAAGCCCTAATCACATGTAGAAAATCCCCTGTGTGGGTTCCGGGGCCCCATTGTGGGGAAAACAAGAATACACCCACTGCCTCCCCAAAAGCATGTTGTAAGAGTCAACTAATTGGGGAGCTTCCTTTGAAGACGGAGTGCGTCTGCCGGAGAGGCAAGGAACCAACAGTCTGTATTCAAGAGAATGAGATCTGTAAAACTGATGCACACGCAACACTCAGGTTCTGGAGCAGGACTGCAGTTCAGTAGTAGACGAGCAACCAGAACCTTCCGCCAGAGTTTACAGCTGGTGAACGCGAAGAAGAAGAAGAAGACGTGTAGAAAATGTGGGATCGTTTAATATCAAGTTTGTACTCAAAAGGGACTAAATCATATTTTGAGTTATGTTAGACTTTGCTATTTCCCTTCAATAATAAAAGAAAAAAAAAAGGAGTAGACATCTTATGTTAGCGGGGTCATGAATGCAGTTTCATAGTTTTGCCATTACCTGGTTAGAATCAGGGGCAGGATATTTGGCATTTACTTCAATAAGGATCGAGAAGAGAGCTAGACAGTAAAGTTTAACAGAAAGGAAGGGCTTGGGATGAGCTGCATGCAATGCAAAGGATATGATGACTTCGCATGGGTTGGTTGAGGAACTACGCTCCATTGGGAGTTGAAAGGCAGAAAAAGAAGACGAAGAAGAATCTGAGTGTCAAACTGTTCAGAAAGTAAGGCAAACTAATGTAAAGTTAGCTTGCAAAACTAGGAATAGCCAACAATTACTCAGGTTGGTTTTTTAGTCCTGCATCAGATACAGAAACTAACTTCAATCCACCTCGTGTCTCTCTCCCCCCCCCCCCCCACCCCCTTTCCCTCGACAAGTGAACTTGCAGACTATCCCACATCAGTCATCACTCACTTTGTCATGATGCAGTTTTCCAGTGCAGGAATTTTTTTCTCCTCATCTCTACGTCCCAAACTCGTTTTCATTCGACCACGTCCCAGTCGTGTTTCTGGTGGGATTAAAAGTTTAAACAAAGTAAGCACAGTAACCCTTCTTTTCGGGGTTTAGTCAGTCAGTCAGTCGGTCAGTCAGTCAATCAGTCAGTCAGTCGGTCAGTTAGTCAGTCAGTTGGTCAGTCAGTTGGTCAATCAGTTGGTCAGTCAGTCAGTTGGTCAGTCAGTCAGTAAGTCAGTCAGTTGGTCAGTCAGTTAGTCAGTCAGTTGGTCAGTCAGTCAGTCAGTCAGTCGGTCAGTTAGTCAGTCGGTCAGTTAGTCAGTCAGACAGCCAATCAGTTGGTCAGTTGGTCAGTCAGTCAGTCAGTCAGTCAGTCAGTCGGTCAGTCAGTTAGTCAGTCAGTCAGTTAGTCAGTCGGTCAGTTGGTCAGTTAGTCAGTCAGTTAGTCAGTCAGTCAGTCAGTTAGTCAGTCGGTCGGTCAGTTAGTCAGTCAGACAGCCAGTCAGTTGGTCAGTTAGTCAGTCAGTTAGTCAGTCAGTCAGTCAGTCGGTTAGTCAGTTAGTCAGTTGGTCAGTCGGTCAGTCAGTTAGTCAGTCAGACAGCCATCAGTCAGTCAGTTGGTCAGTTAGTCAGTCAGTTAGTCAGTCAGTTCAGTTAGTCAGTCAGTCAGTCAGTTAGTCAGGCAGTCAGTCAGCCAGCCAATCAGTCAGTCAGTCGGTCAGTCAGTAACTTGTCTTTTGCAAAACTATGCTCCCATAACAACCTTCTAGAAAAGATCTTGATCACAAGCAAGATGTCCAGTGTCGGATACACCAATCTGGAGATCATACGCCACATTCTGCCCCCATTTTCTCTTTGGCCTTCCTCTTCCTCTCTTTCTAGGCATATACCCGTCCATTATTGTTCTCTCTAAACTTTCGTGACGTTTCGAGTGAGCAAAATATTTCAATATTCTGTGTTTTATCAACTTTAATAGCTAACCTTCTTCAATATTCATGGGTGCATTTGTTTTGCGTTCACCTGATGGCAACTGTGGAAGAAACTTCTGGTTGTCTATCCACTTCTGGGTGCTTAGTTTTGTTCTAGAACTTGAGCTTTGCATGCACATTCATTTTACAGATCTGACTTTTTTGTGTTCAGACTGTTGGTTCCTCATCTCTCAGGCAGATACACATTGGGTCTACCCCCCTCACCCTAACCTTTTCCCACAAAGGGCCCTTGGGAAATGGCAACTGTTTTCATGCCTTTAGGCTAGTTGGTTATAGGGCACTTTTACCCCTATAATAGACAGATTGACCATTGGTGGATTTAAAATAGTCAGTAAAGATCCCTTTTCACGCCACTAGGCACATTGGGCATTCAGGAAGAGCACCCATATTTCTAAAGACCAATCAGCACTAGGTGGGTAATGTGGTCAGCATTACGCCGACCGTCTTAACTTCCCCAGAACAGCCATCCTGGTACCCATTTTAGGCTGGATTGACCTGCAACACCCCATACTATGATAAAAATCCAAGCAGCCAGATATCCTAACAACCATGTAAAGGCTGAGTCAAACTGAAAGCCAAGGTCAGTTCTGAAAATCTGTCTCAAAGGTTATTTTAACATGTACCCATTGGGTGGACAGGCAGGAGCACTGGCCACTGCACCACTATAGTTTCAGAATTATGTAACCAGAACAAGTTTTTTCAAAACAATGCTTTCCCATAGTGAACTGAAATCATGCAGACACCAGTCAAAGTTTTAACAATACAAATGAATAATCTCCCTTATGTAAACAAAAAGAGTTGATTGTAAATGTGAAGTTACCCTGGTAAGTCGTCACGTGATTATTGTGCACTTCCAGCAATCAGACAAATAATGCACAGAAACACACCATGTTTTGTGTATTTCATTTGAATTAACTGAATTTTTTGGCTTTATTTTATGTTGTTTAACTGACATACCAACAGTTACAAAAGAACTACTGACATACCTACAGTTACAAAAGAACTACACAATGATGATAGGAAGACATAAAGACAATTTAGAAATTAAATTAAAAAACAACACCCTGAGACAAACAGAGGAATTTAAGTATTTGGGAGCAATTTTTACTTCAGACGGAAAACTGGACAGAGAAATTAGCTCCAGATGTGCCAAAGCTAATCAAGTAATGGGCCAACTATCTCCCCTGTTGACACACAAGCAGATACCTCAGAGTACTAAAGTGAATCTTATCAGAACTATTTTTTGGCCAATACTATGCTATCAGTGCCAAACGTGGACACTTACATCCTCCAATGAACGTAAAATTGTGACAACAGAGATGAAATGCCTTAGAAGAGCTGCAGGAGTTTCAAGGAAAGACAGAATACAAAATCATGAAATCAGACGAATGCTAGGAATAAAGCCAGTCTTACAGGTCATCAAAGAACAACAAATGAAATGGTTTGGACACCTAACAAGAATGCCCTGGTACTATCTGCCACAGCGAGCCACACTAAAACGTTACAACGGGTATAAAGCGAGTGGAAGACCTCGGAAAAGATGGAGTGATGGCATTAAGAACAGCCTTACAGAAATGAACATCAGTCTTAATAGTGCTCTTGACAGAGCTCATCAACGAACATTACATCTCCCCCCGACACTTCGATGAGGTACAAGGTGGAAGAGAAGAAGAAGAAGAAGAACAACAAAAGAACTACTGACATACCAACAGTTACACAAGAACTATTGACATACCAACAGTTACACAAGAAACTACTGACATACCAACAGTTACAAAAGAACTACTGACATACCAACAGTTACACAAGAACTATTGACATACCAACAGTTACAAAAGAACTACTGACATACCTACAGTTACACAAGAACTACTGACATACCAACAGTTACAAAAGAACTATTGACATACCAACAGTTACAAAAGAACTATAGACATACCAACAGTTACACAAGAACTGCTGACATACCTACAGTTACACAAGAACTGCTGACATACCTACAGTTAACACCACAGGTTTCTCCTGGCAAGCCAGCCCGGTGTAATAGAAAACAGCAAACCTGTTCTCCACGCGCCAGTGACTCACTAAATCTTCGTTCAGACTGAACAAAAGACCATACATGCCATTCACCTTGGTTAGCCAGATTGGATTCTTGGGCGTTTTTAGCATGGAGCCAATCTGGCAAAAGATGTTACCACTAATCAAATTACCAAGCCTAAAATGTAAAGAGTAAAATAATAATAAGTAAAGATCAACCTGAGAAATATGTGAGCTACCATTTCACTTCAAAGTATTCCATGTGTGGGTTCTGGGAGCCCTATTTGGGGGGGGGGGGGCAAGAATAGACCCACTGGCTCCCCAATAAGCATGTTGTGTTGACTACGACGTGGTGCTGACCACATCACCCATCTTGTGCCGATTGGTCTATAAAATACAGGTCTAGCCCTATATGCCCTATACGCCTAAAGGCGTGGAAAAAGGTCCTTTACATTATTTTTAAGTGATGACTAACTGGAGGCTTCCTTCAAAGTCAAAGTGCATCTGCCTGAGAGGCATGGAACCAACAGTTGGCATACAAATTTCAGATCTGTAAAACGGATGTGCATGCAACACTAAGGCTCTGGATGAACAGCTAAAACTTTCTACCAGAGTTTACAGCTGGTGAGCTCGGAAACGAAGAAAAAAGTTCAAAGTATTTTATGTGGAGACCAGTTTGTTCTGAAACATTTTGGAGATATTCTGTTTTTTTTGGGATTTCTGGGTGTGTTTTTGGGGGAATTTTGTCAACCCATTTGATACATATATTTGTGTCCTAATCCACTGAGTAAGTAAAGTAAAGGTTCCTTTTCCATGTCTTTAGGCATATAGGGCATATAGGGCATATAGGGCTAGACCTATATTTTTACAGACAAATCGGCACAAGATGGGTGATGTGGTCAGCATCACGCCGGCCGCCTTTACTTCCCAGGACTGCACCCAGTACCCACTCAAGGCTGGGTCAACCTGGGAGTCAAGGTTATTTTTGAAAAATGTCCGGCTCCACCAGGGAGTGAACCCACAACCTTCTGATCAGCAAGTGAGTGTCTTGCCACTACGCCACGGTGACTCCGAAAGCATTATGAGTATTTTTTTGGGCATTTGACTAGCCTGGCAATACGGCAAAAGCTACCAACGCTGAACTAGGCAGGTTACTTCATAACTGTTTTGTGCTGCCCTAGTCATCATCATCATCAGGTACCTTGCCGACTGGCATGGGCGATCATGCCTCTCCATAATCTGCGATCTCCTGCAGCTTGTATCAGTTCGTGTGCCGACACACCTCCATGCCATGCAACAAGACTGTCAAGCATCTTCTCTCGTTGTCTTCCTCTATTTCTCCTTCCACAGATCTTTCCAGTGGTCACAACATGTTGTATTTTCCCTCTTTTCTTAACATGGCTGAAAAATGATGACTGTCTCCTTCTGATGTCTGTGATAAGTTGTCTTCGGGCTACCACCTCTTTCAAAACCTCTTGGTTGCTCTTTTTGGCTGTCCAAGGTATTCTAAGCATTCTTCTGTAAAACCACATCTCTGAGGCCTCTACCGATTGTCCAGGATTCACATCCATATGTAAAAACTGGATGTATGTAGCAAGCAAGAATTCTTTTTCTAATTCTCAATGACAAGGATATATTGCACAAGATGTTTTCATTTTATAAAATGCAGTTTTTGCCTGTCCTATTATGTTTCTTATCTCAGTTATGCATCTTCCATCTGGTGCTATCCATGTGCCCAGATACTTAAATTTCTGTACTTGTCCTAAAATAACACCATCAACTTTTATTACATACTTAGGAATACTTTGTTTCTTTGATACCACCATTACTTCTGTCTTCCCATTATTCAAATATGTTTCAAGCTGCCCTAGTACAACTGTGAAACATATTCAACAATAGTACAAACACCAGAACATGTTATTAACATAATAAACATCATTATTGTCTGGAACTGTACAGGCATTGGATACTTCCTCCCATATGCAACGTCAGCTGCACATAAAAAAATCCTTAAGGACAGGCTATACCCCCAGATTAAATTTGATTTAATCTGTTGGAAACAATGCTTTCTGTAGGGTCAAACTAGTTGAAGATTGAAGGAAAATTAATTTTGGGAGCTAAAGTCAAAATTTTTTACCGATTTTGACTCAAAATGTTATATTTTATGCAGAAAATTGCCAAATTTGTACTCAACATTTGCAAAGATATTTGAGAAACTAATAAAGATGGCTTAATGCAAATTTTCACATACATTAAACATTATATTTTAAACTTATTGTGCTAAATACTATTCACTTAAAGCAACCGTTTAATAGTTTTGTTCATTTATGTGGTACATTACTGTGTTTTCCCCCCCAAATTTAGGGGTTAGGGTTATCATAAATGACAAAAACACATGACATGGGAATATTAAAAACAAAAACTTTAAAAAAAAAAACGATTTTACACACGTCACTAAGAAATTGCATAATTCTTAAATATACATTTGACAACCCCCTCCCCCCTCCCCAAAAAAAAATTTACAGGCATATATATCATCATCATCATCAGGTGCCTTGCCGACTGGCGTGGGCGATCATGCCTTTCCATAATCTGCGATCTCCTGCAGCATGTATTCTATATACATATATATAAAGGAAGAAATTATCAACATGAATTAAGTAAAGCATTAAATGGAATACATTTCAAAAAAGCCATTTGGTTCACTAGAAAACCCTCGTGGAATACTAGTTATAGTAAATATATTCAGAACCTGACCTCCTAAATGCTGCACAGGTACAAACACAACCAGTGGCATTAACATAAACATTTTACTGTAAAGCTGAGCTGAGACGATTCAAGAAAAGATATCTCAGTACTCAAGGCATACCCAAAAGCGCTCCGTCCCCACGTTACTGTAGAAAAGTCAGTTAAGTAACATTTACAGGCAAGTCAGATAATCCATACCTCAGTCCTACTGTCAGAGTTTTCTCCCTTATCCCAGAAAAGGAAGCCAACTTGATTCCGGGAGTGAATGCCATAAAGTGAGCGGGGCTGTAACAAACAGAAAGGGTACTTTAATACAACAGCTCAACTAAGTCACAAATAATGCTTTTTTTTAATGCTTACTTTTCTTTTCATATGTAGTTATGTGTCGTTCTTCTTCTCCTGGCCCTATATCCCCCAGTGGAGCATAGGCCCTCAACCAACTCAAGCCATGTCATCCCATTCCTTGCTACTGCATGCATCTCACCTCATGAAGTCCCTAGAATTTTATCAAATTTATGTTTCTTTAAGGTCGGGTGAAGGCTGCCTGATGAGTTTTTGTTTTAAAGACAAATGACCAACCTGGCAATGAGGCAAAAAGCAAACCAGCCTGCCGATTTGGTAAAATCCGACCAGCCTGGCAATGTGGTAAAATCCGACTAGCCTGGCAATGTGGCAAAACCTGACCAGCCTGGCAATGTGGCAAAACCTGACCAGCCTGGCAATGTGGCAAAACCTGACCAGCCTGGCAATGTGGCAAAACCTGACCAGCCTGGCAATGTGGCAAAACCTGACCAGCCTGGCAATGTGGCGAAACCTGACCAGCCTGGCAATGTGGCAAACCCACCCACACTGGACTAAAGGTTACTTCACAATCTCGAGGGGGGCTGCGTTGTCTCGAGGCAAGGTCTCCGCCTCGAGTGCTTGAGGTTCCGGGTTCAATCCCCAGTAAAGGCTGGGATTTTTTTTCACGTGGACTTGGACTTCTAGTAATTCCCCCTGATCTCTGGGTAGTGAGATCAGACGCCCGTGTGTGTTGCTGCGCACGTAAAAAAATTGCTTGGCATTTGGAAATCAAAAAGAGTAGCATCACGATGCTGCCTGGGGAAAGATTTGGAGTAGAAAATCTACCCAAAGTATTTCAGTAATCTCGCCATGCTACAGAGCCTGTGCACTGTGCTGAGCTTCTTGGGACTCAGACTTGAGTTAGAAGAAGAACGAAGCACTTATGGGTTACTATCCGTGTGCCATGACGTTGATCTGTTTATCAAACCTTAAACCCCACAATCTCGGATTTGTACATGTTTGATTCCTATTCTAGAAATTTTACAGAATGCAATCCTAGAAGGGAGAAACATCATCCTGTACCTTGTCAAATTTGGTAGACATTTATGTCTTTCATAAGATCTAGATTATAGTTTTCTGGATTAACTCTCTCCATTATATTCTTTCAGGCCCCTGACTCAGACAATGGAGCATTATTTCTTTTTGTCTGGCGTTGCCTCTTTTACCACAGATCACTTCCACCATCACATCTCTCTCTCTCTCTCTCTCTGTCATCATCATGTGCCCTGCCAACTGGCGTAGGCGCTAATGCAGGGCCACAGATCACGATCCCTTGTTGCCTGGAACAGCTCTCTTGATGATATCCCTCCATGCCATAGTTTCAGCCCATCCAGCATCATCTCTCTTGGTCTGCCTCTACCCCCTTTTTCTACTGATCTTTTTAGTTGTCATAATGTTCTCCAATGTCTCTCTTCTCATTATTTTGCTAAAGAACAGTGTTTGTCTCTTTCTTATTGTTGTATATAGAGATCTACTTTCCTTAGCTTCTTTCAAGAAATCATTGTTAGTTACTCTGGCTGTCCAAGGTTATTCGTAACATTTGTATCAGAAACCAAATCTCTGTTGCTTCCAAATTCTTTTTAATTTATTCATTTACATACCAAGATTTGCCAGCAGAACAGATTCTATGTAACATTTCAGCACCCTCTTTCTGACATTAATTGAGAGCTATATATTGCATAAGATATTTTTTATTTTTCTGAAATGCAGCTTTTGCTTGACCTAATCTGCTTTTAATCTCTGTAACACATTTTTTACCTGATGATATGATCGTTCCCATATATTTGAATTTATTGACTTAGTTAAACTTTTTCCTTCAATTGAAATATCACAACGTGGAGTTATCTTCTTCTTTGATATAACCATTACTTAGGTTTTTAAATATTCAATGAAAGTCCTTTCTTAGCACTCTCCATCTCCACAATATCAAATAGTTGCTGTAAATCAGCTGCTCTCTCTATCATAGGACAATATGTCTGACACACAGATACATCACCCACCAAGAGTTCCCCACTCTGTCTCCCTCTCTCTATTATTTATGACATACAGATACATCACCCACCAAGAGTTCCCCACTCTCTCCCCCCCCCCCCCCTCTCTCTTTTTCTCTCTCTACCATGGGACAATATGTCTGACACAAAGATACATCACCCACCAAAGGTTTCCCCCTCCTGTCATACAAGAGTCTCCCTCCCCCCCCCTCATCACCCACCAAGAGTTTTTCTCTCTCTACCATGGGACAATATGTCTGACACAAAGATACATCACCCACCAAAGGTTTCCCCCTCCTGTCATACAAGAGTTCCCCACTCTGTCTCCCTCTCTCTATTATTTCTGACACACAGATACATCACCCACCAAAGGTTTCCCCACTCTGTCTCCCTCTCTCTATTATTTATGACATACAGATACATCACCCACCAAGAGTTCCCCACTCTGTCTCCCTCTCTCTATTATTTCTGACACACAGATACATCACCCACCAAAGGTTTCCCCCTCCTGTCATACAAGAGTTCCCCACTCTGTCTCCCTCTCTCTATTATTTCTGACACACATATACATCACCCACCAAAGGTTTCCCCCTGCTGTCATACAAGAGTTCCCCACTCTCCCCCCCCCTCTCTCTATCATAGGACAATATGTCTGACACACAGATACATCACCCACCAAAGGTTTCCCCCTGCTGTCATACAAGAGTTCCCCACTCTCCCCCCCCCTCTCTCTATCATAGGACAATATGTCTGACACACAGATACATCACCCACCAAAGGTTTCCCCCTGCTGTCATACAAGAGTTCCCCACTCTCCCCCCCCCTCTCTCTATCATAGGACAATATGTCTGACACACAGATACATCACCCACCAAAGGTTTCCCCCTCCTGTCATACAAGAGTTCCCCACTCTGTCTCCCTCTCTCTATTATTTCTGACACACAGATACATCACCCACCAAGAGTTCCCCACTCTGTCTCCCTCTCTCTATTATTTCTGACACACAGATACATCACCCACCAAAGGTTTCCCCCTTCTGTCATACAAGAGTTCCCCACTCTGTTTCCCTCTCTCTATTATTTTTGACACACATATACATCACCCACCAAAGGTTTCCCCCTCCTGTCATACAAGAGTTCCCCACTCTGTTTCCCTCTCTCTATTATTTCTGACACACATATACATCACCCACCAAAGGTTTCCCCCTGCTGTCATACAAGAGTTCCCCACTCTCCCCTCCCCTCTCTCTCTATCATAGGACAATATGTCTGACACACAGATACATCACCCACCAAAGGTTTCCCCCTCCTGTCATACAAGAGTCTCTCCCCCCCCCCTCTCTTTTTCTCTCTCTACCATGGGACAATATGTCTGACACACAGATACATCACCCACCAAAAGTTTCCCCCTCCTGTCATACAAGAGTTCCCCGTTGTGGGTGTAAGGTGTAGCCTTGCCGGTCAGTGCCAGGTTCAGTAAGCTCTGCGAGACGTCATCTGTGTCAGTCAGCAGCCTCGCTTTCACGTCTCGGTCAACTTGTAAGTCTTCATACAACCTGAACATATGTTCGTTTTTTTAAGTATCCAGAAACCATGAGTTGTAAACCCTTTGGCTCGGTACTATGGATATCGCAACCCTTTGGCCTTGATTCCATTATAGGTACCGTGAATCTGGGAGAAATGGCTTTTCTGCCTACCCCGTGGAGTGAACCTTGACCACAAGGAGTTCGTCACCTGGCCACCGCGAAAGTCAGGGTTAACCAACTACACTAGAGAGCCGGTCATCCTGGACATATTTACAGTACCGCAGGATAAGTTATGATATAAGGAATGTCAACTGACATGGGATACCATGGGCAGAAAAGCAGCAAATCGGCAGCAATGGAGATCACTTGTGAATGCCTTATGTGTCAACAGTGAGATGTAGAGGATATAGATAGGATAAAAGTAAAGTAAAGTAAAGATCCCTTTTCACGCCTTTCGGCGCATCGGGCAAATGGGCAGAGCGTCCCATATTTTTACAGACCATCAGCACTCTGTGGGTAATGTGGTCAGCATTACGCCGGCTGTCTTTACTTTCCCAGGACAGCCCATCCTGGTACCCATTTTAGGCTGGGTCGACCTGCGACGTCCCATACCATGACAAAAATCCACGCAGCCTGCAGTGGGTTTCGATCGCGGTATGCTGGCTCACGAGTCGGACTCGCAACGCCTTAGCCACGGACGCCGCTAGATAGGATAAGTTACCTTAATTATTTACAAGGTAAATTTATGTATGACAGAAAATGGGATGATTTCAAGGGAAGAAAAGAAATAAGAGAAATGGCTCGGCAACTCGTCCAAATCCAAGTCCTTTTGAGAAAAAAAAATTAAAAAGTTGACCACTTTCAGACTGCTGCTAACTAGCCGAGGCTGCTAATAGTCTCCGCCTATATTTGTGGTCTGGGTTATTTGCATCACTTTCATGACTAAATTTTAGAATTCCGCCATTTATGGGCTTGATGCTTCTCTCTGAGTCAGACCGCTCATCCTCCACCCTGTTGTTAGCTGTTCGTTTCTTTCCTTTTCTTATCTGGTGTTTCCTCTTGGTGTCATCTCTCTCTGATTTGGGGCTCGGCAACCATTAGCAGCCACAGTTATGAGACAGAGAAGAGTGTGCTACACTGGATACATTTTGTAAAGAAACGAACAGAGAATTATCATTAAAGGACCCTTTTCCGCGCCTTTAGTCTATAGAGCATATATAATATATTTTTAAAATAGACCAATCAACACAAGATGGGTGATGTGCTCAACATCACGCTGGCCACCTTTACTTTCCCGGACTGCACCCGGTACCCACTCAAGGCTGGGTCGACCTGGAAGCCAAGGTCACATTTGAAAAAAGTCCGGCTCCGCTAGGGAGTGAATCCACAACCTTCTGATCCACGGCGAGTGCAGAGAATTATCAAGCAGGGACTAAAATGGGAAATAAAAGGGTTGAAGAAGGGAGGGTGTCCAAATGAAACCTCAAAAATGAATGTCGATGAGGGATGCCAAAAGGGCTGAACTGGATTCCACCCCTGCCCCCATAAACAGTCACCGTATACAGTGTACTTGTTAGGGAGCAGTGTATCTTTTGCCTCCTTTCCCCTCCCCCACCCATTTTTCCCTAAATAAAGAGCCCTAGAAGCCATACTGGGAGATCATTTATATGATTTCAAATCTCTCCCCTCTCTCTAATCTCTGCTGCCCCCCTTTGTGTTGTTCTATCCCTGCCTCTACTTCCAGGAACCAGTTCTTCCATTGCTGTTCCTTCTAAACCATAGTGACGTTTCTATCTATCTATATTCTCTTCATGTCACATAAGGCATTCACAAGTGATATCCCTTGTTGCCGGTCTGCTGCTTTTCTGCCCATGGTATCCCATGTCAGTTTACATTCCTTGATTTCTTGTTCTATTGTCCTTCTCCAGGTTTCCTTAGATCGTCCACGTCTCCTTTTTCCATCTGCTGTCCACCGGAGAGCTGTTTTTTGCCAGAGTGTCACAAGGCATTCTGCAAACATGTCCAAACCATCTCCATCGTCTTACTTTGGTAACATTTGCCAGTGATGCTCATTCTGTTTTCCTCCTCAGTTCTCCATTTGTGATCTTGTTTGACCAAAATATTCATAGAATTCTCCTTAAACATTTTTTGGGGGAAAAGGCTCAAGTTTATGCTTAACAATATCTGGAAGTCAAAGGGATTTAGTTTAAAGACAAAACTCAGAATATACAAGAGCAAAATTTTAGGAATACTATTATACAACAGTGAGTGTTGGAAAATGACCGTGGGAATTACACAGTGATGATTTTAGCATGACAAAAGTAGTTCAGTTTCCCCAGACATGATGCAGTTTATGAGCCAGTCCGCTCCTTTGTACGGGCCTCGCTGACTCTTTGCCACTGCTGCGGGAGAGATGAGTGACTGGAAGGGCTGAACACAACACAGGCCTGGGTGCCCAATTTTCAAAATTTTTGTAAAGCTTGTTTATTGGTTATATATTTTATCTGATGTGGTTAGGGCCTTGTGGGAGTACAGGTACAATTCGAAGGAGCAAATGGATCACCACAGTCTGGTGAGGGTGATGCAGCAGGGGGGTGACAAGGGGATCTGGTCCATGCTTGATGCTCAGAGGAAAGGAAAGACTGACGTATAATCAGAATGCTACAGGCACCATTGGTATTAGCTGCTAAAAATGGGGATGGAGCGTTTATGGGAATGCCCTAAGTGCTGTGATGTCAGTTTATGAATCAACTCAACTCATATTTTGTCTTCATTTATCAACAGTATTCTCCCCATTTTTGTTCCAAGAGTTTGTTAAAATCCGATGTGTTGGGCTGATACTGCAGCCTAGCTGTACACCACAACACCATGTGAAAATTGCCCTTTTAAAAAAAGGACGCTGAAGAAAAAAAAAAACAAATCCACAGTACTTTAAGAATTGTTTAGCAACATGAAATTTTAAAAGTGTTAATTCCCTTTTTTTCCCTAAATGGTTAAATGTGATACTCACTTCTGAAGAGTTCTGGATAGAATCAGACTGTAGAGGAATAGTATGCAGCCATTTCCATTCATGGACTGAAACTGTGGAATAAATATTTGTGAGAATAAATTACAAGGAAACTGTGACAAAACGGGAGGATAATTTCAGTCCGGCAAGAGTTAATTGCAAGTTTTAGTTAAAAGAATTGCGCACGTAAAATAAATATATTTAAACATAGATGCTAAAAGAATAAAAAGGTACGAAGGCGCACATAATTTATGACGTATTGTGGTGTTACTAGGAGATCTAATCCCGTCACAACACAGAACGATTGCCAGCCATACCATCGGCCTAAAACCCACAATAATAATACCTTATACGAGTTCAGGTTCCCGTGTTACCGTAGTCCTGCCTGCCTGTTTACCAGAGGACCAAAATCCCGTGCTCCCGTATTCAAGTCTGCCTGTTTACCAGAGGGCCATAATCCCGTATTCCCGTTTTACGCTATGCCTGTTACCTGTGGATTGTGAACCACCATCCCTGTTACCTGTGGATCGTGAGCTGCCATTCCTGTTACCTTGTGAATTGGGAACCAGACGGTATAGAATGAACAACCGAGATTTCACAGATGAATGTCGCAGTTAGGCGAGGACTATAACAGTCGCAGCCAGAATCTTGTACATTCCTCCCAGAGAAGCTGCAGTTGGACACATCCCGTATATCGTAAAGCTGAGTGTTACTGAATATTTGTATAAATTAATGTGGTGTCATGATGATACATTTATTTATTTTCTCTGTGTTAATTTGAAAATTGTTGAATTCAATATCAGTATTTTATCAATACAGTTGTGGTTTAGAAATTCCATTTATCGATTTCATCGTATCAAATTTACTTCTTCGGTAGACTAAAGATTGTTCATTGCAATTTATTTGAGTTAAATTTACAAAGTTTTGACTTTGGTGGTTTTCTGAATTTCTTTAGGACATTTTCGGGGATTCACCCTATTCTTTAACTTTCTGTATTCTCCTTCCTCTATTTTCCAGAACTCAGGGACCGTTATAATTCCCCTAGACTTATTTAATTCGAGCCCTGTAAGTTATTTGGAAGGATATAGGGGATCTCCAGGCGACGATAGATTCCGCCAACAATAGTTGATTACAATTGGGGTCTCTTACGCGGGATTTTTCAAAAGTTAGGTCATTAAAAGTAGTCATTAATAAGAAATTGGTAGGAATTAAAAAAAAAAAAAAAAAAATATTAGCCAAAAATTAACTTTAGGGAAAATAATATAATAACTTTACACTTGTGTTAATTTGATTGGTGTTTGCGTGTGTTCTTTTAAAGTATATTCTGCAGGTAAAATGGCAACAAGACCCTCACTTATGGAGATGGCGGAGCTGGGGAAAACTCTTGGTTATGCTGGCGAAGAATTAAAGGCATATCTTCAAGAGATACAACGAGAATGGCGACAGGAGGACCGTGAAAGGCGTCAAGAGGAGAAAGAGCGAGAGGAGAGAGAAAGAGTTGAACGTTTGCAACAAGAGGAGAGAGAAAGAGCTGAACGTTTGCAACAAGAGGAGAGAGAAAGACAAGAACGCATCAGACTAGCTGAGATAGCTGCTGAGAAAGAACGAGAGATGAGAGCTCATGAACTCCGTCTCAGAGAGCTTGACTTACAATCTCAGTCTACCTCTAGTACCGCAGTTAATGCGCAATCTTCTACCTCTGAGGCACATTCTTTTGGCCATCCTCACCTTCTTGGGCCGATGTCTTTTCCTTTTCCGCAGTTTAATGAACGCGAGGATAGAATGGATGTGTTTTTGGAAAAATTCGAAAACGTTGCTAGGTCTTATTTGTTGGATAAAGAGAAGTGGTGTCTGAAACTTTCACTGTCTTTAAGAGGTCCTTCTTATGAATGTTATTCGAGATTGCCTCCTGGTCAAGAGACCAACTTCGAGTTCTTGAAAAATTCTTTGTTGAAGAGATATGAGTTGACGGCCTCTGCATATCGTAACAAATTTCGTAATGCTAAAAGAGAGCCGGGAGAAACCATTTCTCAATTCTTTTCAAGAATTAAATCTTATCTGCTGAAATGGCAGAGTTTAGCATCATTTACCCAGACCTATGAAGATCTAGAGGAAATGATATTGGCTGAACAGCTAAAAGAGTCCATGTCAAAACCTCTCCAAACCTTTCTGACTGAGAACGGTGCGGAAAGAATTGCGGACATATTAAAGCTGGCTGAGAGATTTGATTTGGCACACCCTGAACAGGTGGGCGCCAGGGCAAAGATGCACTTTTCAAAATCCCCTCCCAAATTTACCGAAAAGCCAACAGAACGTAACACACATAGGGAACCTGAATTTCGTAATGGTAAGTTTAATACACCAAACACTAACAACACCAATTATAAGTACAATCCACAAGATAATCGAAGGGGTGACGGTCGTGGTCAGCAATCGTCAGAGTGGAGGGGCCGGCTTTATTGTAAGTATTGTCGTCTGAATACACATAATACAGCAGACTGCCGAAAGAAACCCCCTCAACTCTGCGCCGCCTGTTTAACAAATGGTAAACAGGAAAATACCAGGATGAACTCTCATGATGGGGAGAGACCTCCTGTTGTGGATACCATTCTTTTGAACGGCAAAGAAGTAACCTGCCTGTTTGATACGGGTCTGTTATTCGATGCCTTGGTTTCTACAGAACTCGTTGACCCAACGCAGTACACTGGGGAATTTATAGAGATGCAGACTGCTGCACAGGAGTCTGAGACATTAAGATTACCTCTTGCCAAGGTAAACATTGACTGCAAATATGTAAAAGGAACTATTGTTGCGGGTTGTCTCCCTAACCCAATATTTCCAGTTTTACTAGGATGCAAATATTTGTATCTTGCAGTTCCAAAGACGCCTATGCTAGTTGGGGCCATGGATACCCAGTCATCAACCAAAGCATCAGCAGTATCTGATCAAGAACCCCAGAATCCTTTACCAAAGGACATAAGTGCTGCGCAACAACAGGACTCATCATTAAAGTCCTGCTTCCGGAAGTTGCCTTATGCCCATCAACCTCCTGAAAGAGGAGACTTCTATATGAAGAAAAATTTATTGTACCGGAGAGCAGGGATAGCAGAACGAGAGTATGGCCAACTCGTTGTTCCCTTGCCCTACCGGAAAACTATCCTCCATATGGGACACACACTAGCATATAGTGGCCATATGGGGATAGCGGCAACTTCCCAAAGAATTTCCTGCCATTATTATTGGCCAGGAATGTCGGGGGACATTAAGAGATATGTGCGCTCGTGTCCAGAGTGTCAACGATTTTCTCCGAGACACTCAAACCCGCCGGTAACCCTGGGAAACATGCCTATTATGCATGAACCTTTCCAGAGAGTAGCGGTCGACATCATTGGACCTCTGCCTCGGACGAGGAAGAGGAATGCATATATCCTAACATTAGTGGATACCTGCACAATGTGGTCAGAGGCCCTACCGTTACCCAGTATTGATTCAAAACAGGTGGCTAATGCCCTTGTGGCTATTTTTACACGTTTAGGGTTTCCTCACCAAATCCTGACTGACAAAAAATCCCAGTTTCGGGGAAAACTGATGGATGATGTACTCCAGATTTTCCAGAACAGCCATATCCCTATGAGTCTGTACCATGCTCAGAACCAGGGAACAGCAGAGAAATTGACTAGACCTCTAGTCACACTTTTGAGAGAATTGTCTCAGATCAAAGTAGACATGTGGGATGAATATCTTCCGGCAGCCCTCTCTGCATATAGGGAAGTTCCCCATATCACAACAGGTGTTCCTCCAGAGACCTTGTTGTTTGGTCGTCCAATTCAAGGGCCATTGTCAGTCCTGTTGCAGTCATGGACGAATGAGAAGTTGGACCAGACTGTGGTAACCACTTCCAAATACGTGGAAGAACTGAAAGCGAAAATAAAATTAGGCTGGAACTTGTTTGGAAAATGCTGGAAGAAAATTAAAGCAAAGTTGACTTCTAATTTTAGAAGAAAGGTGAAAAGTAGGAATCTGAAAGTAGGAGATAAAGTTATGGTGTTGTTACCATCAGTCAGTGAGAAGATGGAAATTGGTTTTCAGGGACCTTTTCCTGTGGTGGATAAAGTTTCCCGCAGACAGTTTGCAATTTCTATAAATGGGAAAGTAAGAAGTTTTCATATAAACTTGCTTAAGAAATTCCAGGAGAATACTTTTTGTTCTCCATAACGGGGGTATCCATTTAGCTAATGGGGTACTGAATCTTGAGGTAGTGATATTGCATGGAAAAGGTAACAATATCTAGATACACACATAATATAATCAATGTCAAATGATTTCTTGAAATAAAAGAATGGTATATATTAAATTCAGTTCTCAAGAGAGTAAGGACACGATCCTTGTGGGAGACTCCGCACAGCGCAGCCATCCCTGACTGAATAAATGATACCTTCTATTATAAAGAAGGAAAGTAGAGTCACTAGGTCACTAAAATTATAAATTAGTTTGCCGACTTTAACTTAATGATATAAAATAATTCCTCTTTTACATTCGGGTCTCAAATGAGCGAGAACATGTGCCATGTGAGAGGTTTTGCTAGCTAGCTAGGAATCCTCCCTGACTGAAAAGTTTTCGGTTCTCGAGCGAGCTTGGTCTTGATTCTTGTAGGAGATTTCGTCAGATGACCGAAATTCTGCCCTAACCGAATGAGATGATCTAGATACACATATAAGCACCGGAATTCCAGCAATCACTGTGAAATACATGTAGGCTCCTCCCAAGATGAAGTAACCTCTTCCGTTGAGAACTCTCCGTTTATTTTTAAACATCATAATTCGGGCACAATGTCCACAAAATTAAAATTTTATACACATACATTTTATATTTGCATAGTGGATGATGAAATGTGTGAGATTGCAAGAAAATAATAATTTTAATTTTAACTCTTTGGGAACTGAAATTTCCTCTATTTAAATTTCGTAACTGAAATTTTCTTTTCCGGGGGCATATGTGACAAAACGGGAGGATAATTTCAGTCCGGCAAGAGTTAATTGCAAGTTTTAGTTAAAAGAATTGCGCACGTAAAATAAATATATTTAAACATAGATGCTAAAAGAATAAAAAGGTACGAAGGCGCACATAATTTATGACGTATTGTGGTGTTACTAGGAGATCTAATCCCGTCACAACACAGAACGATTGCCAGCCATACCATCGGCCTAAAACCCACAATAATAATACCTTATACGAGTTCAGGTTCCCGTGTTACCGTAGTCCTGCCTGCCTGTTTACCAGAGGACCAAAATCCCGTGCTCCCGTATTCAAGTCTGCCTGTTTACCAGAGGGCCATAATCCCGTATTCCCGTTTTACGCTATGCCTGTTACTTGTGGATTGTGAACCACCATCCCTGTTACCTGTGGATCGTGAGCTGCCATTCCTGTTACCTTGTGAATTGGGAACCAGACGGTATAGAATGAACAACCGAGATTTCACAGATGAATGTCGCAGTTAGGCGAGGACTATAACAGTCGCAGCCAGAATTTTGTACATTCCTCCCAGAGAAGCTGCAGTTGGACACATCCCGTATATCGTAAAGCTGAGTGTTACTGAATATTTGTATAAATTAATGTGGTGTCATGATGATACATTTATTTATTTTCTCTGTGTTAATTTGAAAATTGTTGAATTCAATATCAGTATTTTATCAATACAGTTGTGGTTTAGAAATTCCATTTATCGATTTCATCGTATCAAATTTACTTCTTCGGTAGACTAAAGATTGTTCATTGCAATTTATTTGAGTTAAATTTACAAAGTTTTGACTTTGGTGGTTTTCTGAATTTCTTTAGGACATTTTCGGGGATTCACCCTATTCTTTAACTTTCTGTATTCTCCTTCCTCTATTTTCCAGAACTCAGGGACCGTTATAATTCCCCTAGACTTATTTAATTCGAGCCCTGTAAGTTATTTGGAAGGATATAGAGGATCTCCAGGCGACGATAGATTCCGCCAACAATAGTTGATTACAGAAACAACTTGATAAGATACAAGCAGGATCTAGACAAGAAAGTAGTGAGGTCTTGTCCAAAATTATCCATGTGCCTTAGTAATTTGAAAAAAAATATTTTTTTTTAAGCACATCTTGCATCTGAAGTTAACTCTTTGAGTCCCAGAGGGTTTAGCATCCCAGGCCCAAGTGGTAGTAAAGAGAGGTGTAAAATCGGTGCATCTTGCGTTTACTAGGCTACTAGGTGGGAACCTATGAACATATGATACGCTCCTTGGGACTCAAAGAGTTAAGATACACAAATATATTCGGATTCCCCTACTTAAATTTCACTCACCCACTCACTCACTCATCTCACTCACTCACTCACACACACATATACACACAAGTAAACAAACACACATATAATCTGACCTCCATACTTAGGTCATAAACACACATTTACACATACATTAACACACACACACATACACACACCTACACATACACGAACACACACACACATACACAATCTTCCTTCTTAGACCACACAAAAATAATCCAAGCCTGCAGTAACATCTGTTTGTCAGGGGCAGAACAGATCCTGGGTTACAATAACTGCCGCTAGCTTCAGTAATCCTGGTTCGTCTCAGGGTATTGACTTTTAAGATTCTGACATTTTTCACAGCAACAAAACAAAACAAAAAAGGTCACAGTTATTCGACCGGCCTTCCTGAATGTAGAAAATAAGAAGGTTAGAGAAACGAGTAGGCTGCCAAGGTGGAACTACAAGAAGACTGACTGGACAATGTTCAAGCACCGCACCAGTATACTGCTTGGAAATCTCAGCGTAGACCAGGATATAAACAAAGAAGTTAAAGAATTTAACAGCAAATGCGTACTACAGGCAGCAGGAGAATCAATACCAAAAGGTGCCCGTAAGCATTACAAGCCATACTGGAATAGTGAACTATAAAATTTACATAACGAAGTGGAAACATCTAGAAAGAAAGCAGAGACCAGGCCAAACCAAGAACATCACAATAACTACCAGCATGCAAAAGCAAAATTTGTTAGGGCAAAACTGCAGGTTAGAGTAATCTACCCTGGCTCCTGGGGTAGCAGACTGGATGCCTAATCTTCTCAGACTAGGGCCAGAAACAAGGAGGTAAAAGTAGTCAAGTAAGTTGTATCCTACTGTTTCTGTTTTAACAGCAGATCAACATCATGGCACAATGGTGGTAACCCATAAGTACTCCGTTCTGCTTCAAACTCTAACCTAAGTCTGAAGAACCTTAGTGCACAGACTCTGTAGTACCGGCGAGGATCCTGAAATACTGTGGGTAGAATTTTAACTTCAAATTTTGACTGGGCAGCACTGTTAGGCTACTCTTTTTGATTTCCAACTGCCAAGAGATATTTTTTAGGTGCATAACAATACACAAGGGCGTCCGATCTTACTATCCAGAGACCGCAGAAAATTACTATAAGTCCATGTAAAAAAAAACAGCCTTCACTAGGGCCTGAAACTGGAACCTCCAGCACTCGTGGCGGATACCATGCCTCGAGAACACTCTACCTACCCCCCCCCCCCCAACCCCCCCCAATTTCTACAGATTCATCATACCTCCACCAACAAGGCCAGAATTCAGAGAATCCTTACAGAATATGTATCCAACATCTAAAAATACAAAATTTCACAAAACAATGTTTTACAGTGTACGTCTTCTTCTTCATGTTCAACCTGCTGTTGACACTTGCAAAAAGTTCTGGTTGTTCATTCATTTCTGGACTTTGGTCTTATTTCAAAACCTAAGTTTTTATGCACACACGTTTTACAGATCTGGCTTTTTTTAAAAACATATTTTTGGTTCCTTGTCTCTTAGGCAGATGCTCTCTGACTTCAAAGTAAACTCCTAATTAGTAGACTCTTAAGACATGCTTGTTAGGCTGCAGTTAGTCTTCTCCTTTTTGTTCCCCAAAATGGGGTCCCGGAACCCACACAGATGATTAAAGTCTGCAAATACCACTATTACCTGTCCCAAATGTCTTTTGACAAACTGCTGCGCTTCTTCGTACTTCTTGAACTCAAAAATATGAACCTATCAGCAGTGAAACAAAACAAAGTATGATATTAAATTATTATCTTAGTTGGTGAATGTATGTCTGCAGTGCTAAAGTAAAAGCTAGTGAATGAATAACAACTTTCTGTGTCCATTCATCCCAAGACAAGTCTATGCTTGAAGAGTTATGTACTGAGTTGAGTCAAGAATTTACATCACAGCACTCGGGGCATTCAAATGCTTGCTCTGACCTCATCTTCAGCAGCCAGCCCAGAGTTCCAATACTGATTGTACCAGTCACAATCTGGTTATATCTCCATCTTGCCTTACTTCTGAGTGTAGTGAGCCAGCCAGACCCTCAGGCTACACCCGGGTGCCTCATTCTCTCCAGGCCATAATAATCTTGTTTCTCTACTGATTCCGTTTCTTTTTCCCAAAGGGCCTTGACCACATCTGCCTTGTCATGTATTAATTTACCAACCAAATGCAGACTCCCTTCTCCCTAAACCCTTTCATCAAGATACTGAATCTGACAGTATCCCCAGCTGCTTCTTTAGCTGTGCTTAAATGAACAAACAGCTAATAATAACGGACCTGGCTTTCCGTGTTGATATTGCATAACACCAGGGATGGGAAATGTTCTGTAGAATAAAGGTGGCTGGTGTGATATCGACTACATCATTCCTCTTCTTCACCTTCACCAGCTGTAAACTCTGTTGGAAAGTTCTGGTTGTTCATCCACTTCTGAACTGCAGTCCTGTTCCAGGACCTGAGTGTTGTGTGTGCATCAGTTTTACAGATTTGATTCACTTGAAAGCAAACTTTTGGTTCCTTGCCTCTCAGGCAGATGCACTCCGCCTTCAAAGGAAGCTCCCCAATTAGTTGACTCTTATGATATGCTTTTTGGTAGACAGTGGGTCTATTCTTGTTTTCCCCACAATGGGGCCCCGAAACCCACACAGGGATACTACACTATTCAATGAGCTTTAATTGTTTTATAAAAATATGGGATTAGCATCACATGACCAAAATCGACAAGGAATGAAAGAGGATTCTTTACTTTTGGCTGACAGAAGTACAAACATAAAAACCCATTAATGATGTCAGAGGGAAGATGTACCATAGAAACTCCCTCAGACAAAATTTTTTCTTTAAATTCAAGAAAAAAATTCAATAAATAAAATAAATTATACACACACACACATATACAAATACAATAAATTAATTTTAAAAAAATATTTAAAAAATTGTATTTTCTAACATGAAGAACAATTTTACACAATTTTCATTCACTCACTGAAGGTTAAAAAAAAAATCTGTGCATATTAGATAGAACCAGTTAAAACAAATCAGATAAGTGAAACAACATATAAAACACGGAGACAGGTAGATAAGCAGAGAAAATTTCCTAAACAAATTAAGAAAGCTATACTTAAATCAGACTGTGTTCTAGCTTATGGGGGCGTCCTGAGTGCTGTGATGTTGATTCTTAATTCAACATTCAATAAAAAAAAAAAAAACATACATACATACAAATTAGAGCTTGAATAGGTGATTATCACTATTTGGCCGATTATGAATAACGGGACCAACTGTTCGGCCGAAAACGAATAGTGTGTAGTTTATAAAATAAATCTAAAAAGACATTGATAATTTAAAATGTACGCTGAACTTTTACTTCACAAAATGTAGTACAGAATAGTAAACACTTAAAAACATTTTATGTTTGACATCCTTCGTTCAGTCTGTGGTAACTAATAACTAGGAATGAAAATATTTTAAGTATTATAACAAGTAACTAAACTTGTAAATTGTCACTACAGCTTAGTTAGTGAATGAAAGCTGCATTAGCTTTTAGTTAAATCAACTCTTCCATGTTGTCAGTTATAAGGCAGTGTATGCAGAAGCGGGTGTAAGGTAACCACTATTCGTATTTGGCCCGACTGCAAGTATTTGGCCGAATACCGAATAGTTATTAGGTCCACTATTTGGCCCAGAAGTGTATATGAAGAGAATGTTTGGTACAGCTCTAACACAAACACAAGTAGAGTGTTTCCATGAAAATCTTTTTAAGCAAACAACCTTCTCCGTGACTGAGTCCGGTTTATATCTGTGGTCAGGTCCCAGGCAGTGCTCCCCATCCTTGAGACAGACACAGCAATGTTTCTTCTCTCCCGCCTGCCACAACAACTCACACATGGCTCTCACTAGGGCACGTCTGCGTTCAAAATCATTCGGGTTCAGTGCACTGAAAGCAACAGGCCCAAAAAAGAATATTTGCGTTTAGAAAAAAAAATATATGCATTTAGTTGATTAGAAAGCATCTAGTTTGATTTCTCCTCATCCCCGTTTGGGTTCCGGGGTCTCATTGTGTGGGAAAACAAGAATAGACCCACTGCTTTTCCCCACAAGCATGTCTTAAGAGTCAACTAATTAAAGGTTTTCTTCGAAGTCGGAGTGCATCTGCATGAGAGACAAGGAACCAACAGACTGCATACAAATAAGACAGATCTGTAAAACGGATGTGCATGCAACGCTCAGGTTCTGGAACAAGTCAAAGATCCAGAGGTGGGTGAACCACCAGAACCTTCCACCAGAGTTTACAGCCAGTGAACAACAGAAAGAAGAGGATTTCTCCTTATAACACACATTAAACAAATTTTGTCCAATTTCTCTAACAAATTTTGTTTTCACATCTTTCTTGAAGGACTGGTAAATTTGTTTATCTCTTCATTCATGATACTGTTTGCATTTAAATCAGAAACTTTATTTTCATTGTCATTAGAAGCATAGATGCTGGAAACTTCGGTGGGGTTACTTGAGGTCCCTCAAAACTTTTTAGGAGGAGCTGCCCCCCCCCATCCCCCCTCCCTTCCTTTCCAAATTAGTTGAACCTTTTCCAGCAATTATGCTTGACTTGACTTAACTCTTTGAAGACTGGTGGCGCCAGAAGAATTTATCCTGATCACACTATTCACCAGTATACTGGCAAATCATGGAACACTTTAATTTTGTTCCTTTTGCGAGGAAAAACCAACTTTTATGAAAATGTCTTTTTTTAAAACTAGGAATAGCAAAAGGAAGTTATTTTGTCTGTGATGTTCCCCATGGCTTTTGCATGACTTTCTGATTTTTTTAAAAACTATTTAGATGTTTTACAATTTTTATGTGATTTTTCGATACCAAATGATAAGGGAAAAGGTCTAGAACTGTTCATACTACTCTGTCGTTGAATCTCTGCCGGATGGTGACAAGTTTTGATATTGTAACTGATATCTAAGTGACAAACCTATTGGAGATAGTTTAGTTTAGCATATGAAAATTGAACAAAATATTTCAATCAGATCATTGTTTCGATCAGCTGTGTTCCGGATTTTCAGTAGTTGTGAAATCTGACGTGTCATTCAAAGCTTATCATAACATCATAACAAGTATTTAAATTAATTGTTTCAAATAAAGACTAGCTGAAACATAATTGAACAGAGAAGGCATGTGAATGCTTAGAATTGGATAGCAGTGTTTTTGAACAAGAAAAAAAGTAAGGTAAGCACAACATATTTTTTAAAACAATCTTCAAATGTGTCTAACATCCTTGAATGTTGTGTGATTTTAATAATATTTTGTTAGAATACTTACATTTAAATAGTTTAGATTTATTCTGCACTCATTTATCTTTGATTTTATATATTATATGTCCTGATACAGCCTATACTTTTTCTTCAGGACGGTTTAAGCTTTTTCATGTTGCAGTAAAACAAAATTCCGCTCAAAACGAATGCTGCCCAAACACCAGAAAAAAAATGTGGTCCTGAAAGAGTTGACTACAATAATCCATGATGGCATTCCATATTTACCAGTATATTGTTAGGCCCGAGTTTGTCCTAAATTCTCTTTCTTGCTGTGCTCCCAGAATACCTTGCAGCGCCAGGACAGGAAGAGATCTCTGGAGCTAACCCTTATGTTTACTTCATATAAAGTACTTTTCAGCGTCTCTGATATTTCTGTGAACCATCTTCAGTGCAGTCGACCTCTGCGTCTGTTACCGCTGTATCTGTATAACATTGCTCTCTGTGGTGCCCTGTCTGATTCCTTTCTTCCAATAACAGTTAGTCAGCCAGGCTGATAAACAAAAAAGACTGAACCAGCTTAAACGGGTATCAAGAAATGTCCTGGCAATATAGACGGCCAGCATGATGCTGACCACATTCCCCACCTGGGGTTTGCGTGGCCTCGAGGTATAGCCTCCCAGGTTCAAGCCCCAGTGAAGGCTGGGATTTTTTCATGAGGACTTCTAGTAATTTCCCCTGGTCTCTGGGTAATAAGAATAGACGCCCGTGTTTATTGTTGCGCATGTAAAAAAAAAATCCCTTGGAATTTGGAAATCGAAAAGAGTAGCCTAGCGGCACTTCTTCTTCTTCCTCTTCTTCTTCTTCACTTCCTCTTTTACCACTGTAGGTATCGAGGGAAATATAAGGTTCTGTTTCTAGCTCTTCTGGCCGCCTCGACCATAGGCACATCGTGCTGTTGTAGAGTTTCTCTGATGTTATCCTTCCATCTTGTTCTTGGTCTACCCCGTGCTCTACGTCCTTCTTCTCTTTCCATGTATGCTTTGTATGGTATGGTGTCACAAGGCATTCTCTCCAAGTGGGCAAACCATTTCACTTGCTGTCTTTGTATGTAATCCAGAATTGGTTCTGTGCCGACTTGTTCTCTTATGATCTCATTCCTGATCTTATCTCTTATGGTCACTCCTACAGCCCTTCTCAGACATCTCATTCCTAGCGGCACTGCTCTGGCAAAATAAGGAGTTGCAAATTTACCCAAAGTATTTCAGGATCATCACCGGTGCAACGGAGTTCATGCACTGCACTGAGATTCTTCAGACTCAGGCTTGAGTTAGAAGTAGAACGGAGCACTTATGGGTTTACACCCGTGTGCCCTGATGGTGATCCATCGACTAAACTAAACTAAACATCACCCACCGAGCGACAATTGCTCTATAAAATATAAGTCTAGCCCTATGTGCCCTATATGCCCAATATGCCTGAAAGTATGGAAAAGGGTCCTTTTTAGTTCTTGGTGTAAAAATGTAATTGTATCGTTCAACATTACCAGGACCCTGTAACGAGCAACCAACATCCAGTGACACAAAGTGCCACCATTTGGATCAGGATCACCCGGGCACAAGTCCCACAAGCCCTATTCAACTGTTAGGTTATATTAGGGCCCCAACTATAGCCGGAATGGGGGCTTTAAAATAATGAAAAATGGTGTCACATATCGGGAAAAGGTTAGTGTAAGAATGTAAAATGGGCCTTCGTGTCCAATTTGTGACCCTTTTAACTCTTTGAGTCCCAAGGAACGCATCATACGTTCATAGGTTCCTACCTAGAAGCCCAATGAATGCATGATGTGCCGATTTTATTACTTCCTTTACTACCCCCTAGGCCTGTGATGCTAAACCCCCGGGACTTAAAGAGTTAAGACAACTTTGTTTGCTTACTTGTTTGTTCACTCTTAAAAATCCTCTTTCGCTGTTCAAATGACAATGATATATTGGATAATTCTAAGGACCCGGGTATGGAAGAGGGAGGGAACAGAAAAGGAATACAACTATAAGAAAGATACTGAGTTGAGTTAAGAATTGACATAACAGCACTCAGAGCATTCCCATGCATGCTTTGTCCTAATCTTCAGCAGCTGGCGCAGCGTTCCAATACTGATGGTACCGGTCACAATCTGGTTATATGTCTATCTCACCTTTCCCTTGAGTGTAGTGAGCCAGCCAGACCCTCTGGTTACACCCAGGTGCCTCATTCTCTCCAGGCCATAATAATCTTGTTTCTCTACTGATTCCATTGCTTGTTCCCAAAAGGCATTAATATTAAAGGAACTGCAAGAAACAGCAAGAATTAAATGAGTTGGTGTAAGGTACCTGGAGCTTCTAGTAGGGATAAAAGGCAGTGAAAAAAGGAAGGAAGGAGATCTCTCACCTGGTTCCTTGAAGGATGGAGGACTTGTACTCCCGGTCATAGATCAAATGCTTAAGGAGGTAACCTTGGACGCACAAGGCAAGTGCCCTGGAGCCACACTGAAGGACGTAAGAAAACACATTTGTTTAGCAAAGGGAAGACATAAATGCATAGGAGTATTAGTAGCAAAATCTTCTTCTTCTTCATTTGTTTGCTTGAAATAGATTATTTATTTCTGCAATGTTGTCTCTAGTATGAACTTCGCTGTCTTTTGTAATTCACTCAGGGACCCGTAAAGTTTGACTTGCACCAATGTTTCTCTTGGCCAAAAGTTTTGCCTTGATATGTTGTATTTGGGACAGTCTTGGAGGACGTGATCTGTTGTCTCAGGTGCCAGTCCACATGTACACATGGCTGATTCACCAATTTAAAATGTGTGTACATGTTGCTGCGAAGTTCATTATGTCCTGTTCTAAGCGTAGAATAATAACTTGCTCTGGTCTAAACTACATTTAGGTTACCACAAGGGAAAACAATAATGTTTACATATTTCGCCAGGGGAATTAACTTTGATTTATATATATCATTAGAGAAAGTAACTATGCACAGATGTATCCCCATTGGAAGCAATCTTATTCAGCAATATCAAAAGAAAAAACAAATATATTTAGGTAAATGGTTAGATACTGCCTCTACTATTATATAAAGATGTGTGAAAACGGGAAATGGCCAGATCCACTGGTAACTCACAGCTCCATTCTCCTTAGGCGATAATGATCCATCTGTGCCTCCGCACTGTTCACTCGCTCCCAAAGGGCCCTCACAATTTCTAACTTGACATACATCAATTCACCACCAAGTGATGCAGAGCCAGCCAGTCTATCTACCTGCTCATTTCCAAACACAGAGGCATAACGTGGAGAAAACATCCATAGGATGATAACTACCCAGGACCTCTGAAGTGATGCTTGCCACTCTGCACTAAGCATGCCTGTTTTGACCTTTCTCAACATGCTTTGTGGGTCAGTTGCAATCACCCCATGTGTGTAAGAAGTCACACAATGCACTAGTCAATGCATACCATTTTCTGCAAAAACGGTTTAACAAAATCATACTTCCCGTAATTTACTGAGGCACTACAGGAATTTCAATTTATAAAATGTTTCTTTTTTTATTTTTATATATGCATACAACAGC